ACGAGTGGAGGCGATGGTACAGCCAGGAGCCGGTGAAAGCAGTGCCCATATCGTCCTTAAGATGCCAAGCGGGAAGGTAAGGCGGCAGGGATGTTTTAACACATGACTTATCTGACTTCAGCGTTTTGATCGGAAATTCCTGGCTGATGCCACTGTGGGCGACTTGTACGACTGGGCTGATGTTTGTGTTGATGACTCCGCGCAAGAAGAGGAGGAGGTCGACCAGGAGGACAGCCTTGGGTACCTTCGGAATTTATCTGTTTACTATCCATTAATCTCTCTAAGATACTTTGAGCTCAGCACAGCGTTCCCTGTGACCAAACTTCGCGGCCAACGCGATAAAACACTGAAAGTGAGCCTCCATTGTGTAGCCATGGTCCCTGATGATTCGGTTTTAGGATATGGGTCTTATGCCCAACGCCGTGGTGATGATTGCTCCCATTGATCCCGATGAGGACCCTCAGTTCGATAAGTCATGCTGATTGTGTGTCATTGTTTTATTCATCGTTACAAGACACTCTTCTAGTTTCTCGTAACAATCGGGCTTTGGGTTGACGAAGTCGGCAGGGGAGTAATTTCTCAATGAACACCTTTCGTGATGCAGCAAGTCATTGGTAAATCTGCACAAGTTCGGTGTCTTGCTTATGCTTCTCTGCGTTGATCGCAATTGATGTGATAAAAGGTAAATGTGCCGTCTTGCAACCAATTCCATGCAATCAGGATCCATGCCTGCGAATGTATCAAAACATATCACGTCACTGTCACTAGGCTCGCTCGCTAGATAGGGCTAATCCTCATGTCATACAACCGTAACAATTCGCAGGGTGCACCTCAGCATGAAATAGATAGGAAGCTCTAGCAGATTTGGTTGATGATTCTGAACGTGTGTTATACAACATTCCCAGCCCCATCCGAGACTAAGATCAACGCACTGAACACGGTATGTACCAGAAACATGAGATTTGTAATTACTCCGAAACATTAAAAGCCTCTCTACAATTACTCAGTTGTCGGGCCTTCTAAAGCCTCCTTCACTAGAGCCTTCAAGTAGCTCATCTGTTCCTCCTCTTTCCTACTATGTCGTCTCCAATCCCTACAACAACAACAACAACTCCTGACAGACACACCGGTATCCTCATGCTCACCAGTAGTTTATAGTCATTGTCTTATACGTCGTATTAGGCAACAGCTTGATGTGACGATGCCTCATTTTCCTGATACCAAAACACGTTCACTATCCTGGACAGAGCGAGCTCACCTAGAGGTCGGCCTGCTGGGAGTGTCTATATCGATGACCAGTCCAGTAGCCTCATCAAAGAAATCCACATGATATGGACCTATACAACAGGGCTTTCACTGGCCAGGCTATTACATACCATACCAATCGGAACGTTCCTCTCAACGGACAGCCGAGAGCGGACACCATGGGTTCCTTTGACATTGTCAAGGAGGGTCAACACCTCAGCGTG